TTTGAGCCGGCCTTATCTACAAAACGAAGACCCATTGATTTCGCGTCAGTTGGTGTCTGAAGAAAAGCGTTGACCCGGTTTGACTGTCTCTGGTTTGATGGGCCTGTAAAAAAACAAGTCTTCGTTTTTTGGGTCTTAGGTCTTACTACGATTATCAGTTGAGTAAGGCGGGACGAAAGTTTGGTCACCAAGTTTTAACGTAAAAAATCCTGTTGTTGTCACAAGCAACTGACTCCGTATCCATTGGCAACTTGTCGGCCTTTGACGTCATTGGCAGCAAAGCGCGCGAAATTGTAGGCGACGCGACAGGCGATGCACGGCTGTTGATATTGTTACCAACGGAAACGAGGTAAGTTGACCGTTACAACATCATAATTTTAAGGTCAAAACTTCGTAACCAAACTTCCTTCGTACCTTACTCAACTGATAATCGTAGTAGGTCTTAGGTCTTCGTTTTGTAGACACCCGTAGTATTCGCGACGTATTCAGCACAAACGGATGCCATTTCTTTTTCTTTAATTTTTAATCACACACCGATGTCTGATATTTACAACCTTGTACACATTTGTTTCACAACAAGAACATACAAAGAACTATCTCATCAACATTTAGGCTAAATGCAAGTCAAGGGCAGCGTCTGTGGAGGAGGCTGGACTGAAAAAAGGTTTTAAAATTAAAACTATCATTATTTAAAAATATCGTCTCTTTTGGAAATGAGATCCACTGTATCTTTGACAATATTTTCCTTGTTGCTCCGGGACACCAACATGGTTTGCTGCCATAAAAACTCAAGAGTGTGCCATTTAAATTGATATACAAAGATAAGAGTTATATGTGGCCTTTTATGAGAAGAGCTAGCTGAGTTTTTGATACTAACAGCTGACATCAATGTGATTTCAAGCTTACTAAGAACAGGGTGTTATTTTACTTATAATACACTGTACAAAACGATGACCAGAAGTGATCGTATACTGCTGTTAACAAGCAAGTCCTCTTCGTCTGTTCATGGTGGTTGCTCGTTTGTTTTCTCTGTTTTTGAGGCCTCTCTTTCGACGTTCTTCCCTGTGGAAAAAAAAAAAAAAAAAAAAAAATTTCTTGGTATTTTTCTACCTCAGGATGTCTAAACAGAATAATCTTACCTTAAAGACAATTGATTTAATAAACTGTTTAATAGTAAATTATTTGGATCATGTCTACTTTGTCTAAAGGCATCTGTGGTCAAGTGTCAACTAATTTTTGCAGACATGCTATTGAGTGTCAATCAATACATATGAGTCAGTTGACAATCAACCAAGTGTTGGCCCAGTATCGATCAAGATGTCCATCAGGTGTTGATCAAGATGTTGACTGAGTGTTGATCAAGAGATCAATCCAGGGTCAATAGAGAGTATTGATCGACGTTGTCTGTGGATGCCTTTAGTACATATGATCCAATTATTTGAAGATCGTCGTCGTCGTCATTATCATTATCCTTCTAGCACCTCAGGGGGGTGTGAGGCCACACATCAACTCTTTTCACCTTGCACAGTCTTTACCCACATTTTCAACCTGCGTCCACGAGGTTAATCAAGTCTCCGCCATTCACTCTCAACCGTTCAACACCAGGTTGTTCAAGATCATACTTTCTGCGCAATCAAATTATTAGTTGAATGGACTGTAGAAAATTCTCACCTTGACACAACTTTTACATTTTTCACATCAATTTTATGGCTTTTCAATTTTGCTTCGCTGATAGTTGGTTTGCACTCCTCTTTGTATGAAGAAATAGGTTTAAGTTTTCCAGTATGGGGTTTGTATGGCAATGGTTTAGCCAGACTAGCTTGCAGATCAAATTTTTTCTTTGGAGTTGGAGTTGGGGCAGCTGGTATATTTGCTGGCAAAAATCTGTGAATTAAAAGAAAAAGAGAACTTTTAAAAGACTTTACTATCAATAATTGTTAAATAAATTTCTGATGGAGAATTACTTTTTAAACCTTACATGTAAATAATATTGCAAGCACTCAACACTGTGTGGAAGGCATGATAAAAGAAACTAGAGTCCTGGACAAACAGAGAGCATATCATTTTGTGCAAGATGTTTCACTGTTGTGTTTACCACTAAAATTGTTGCATAAAATATTGCAGCTCTAGCTAGAACATTCATGCAACAATTTTAGGGGGGGGGGGGCACATGATATAATGTAACCATTACGAGCAATGTTGCATGTAATGATGCACCATGTGTCCTTAAAAGTTTGCTTTTGGGGGTAGGCATGCTAGGGACATGCCCCAGAGGACCATATGGGAGAGTGAGTTCTTTTGACCCATGTAAAATATTGGATCCACACTTCTCAAATCCTGGTTAGAGAACCTTGCTTCTCAGGAGCTCAGCAAGCCCTTGCCCTCCTGACCAAGATTGTACTGAGAAAAACTATTGTGTCTAAAGCCCTGGTCAAACGGCGCATGATAGTCGATTCTCTCCTAACTATAATCAACTATCACCAACTATCATTCACAAGGCCAAACTGCCTAAGAAGTTCCTGATAGTTGACGATAGTTCACCGGCAGTCGTGTGAGCGGTTAGTTTCAGGCTCTTTCTGTGTAAAAATGTGAACACTAATATGGTGTCACATGAGACAAACTTGTAAAAGTATGAATTTTTCGCGATGAAAGAGGGTGGCAGCTTGTTTACTGGTAATCGATTTGTTGGAGGAATGTACAGAAGATGAATCTGGAGAGCATTGGTGGAAGAGAGGACGGACAAGGGAATGGATCAAAAGGAGAAACGAAAGCGGGATGTTGAAATTGGTGGAAGAATTGCAAGTGGAGGACACTCCCACTTACAAGGAAATGCTGCAAATAAACTGTGAAACATTTGAGGAAATATTGACCGCTATCGGGCCTGTGATTACCAAAACAGCTGACCGAAAAACTGTCATGAACTATCATACGTGTGGTCAAATGAGAAAAACTATCATCGACTATCATGAAGAATTTGAACAAGCTCAAAATGAATGATAGTTGGTGGTCAAAAGGAAGCACGTGCTTCAACTATCATTGACTATAGGCCCTTTGCAGCTGGGGTCACGTGACCAAATTTTTCCTAAAAGGTTTTTGTATTATGGGCTACAACTAAAAGAATGCCAGAAATGGAAAGAGCGATCGAAAATACCAAAATGGCCAAGTTTGAGGCCCCAGGAAAAAACGAGTAAGTTTATACCATAGTTTGAACTTTTGGAAAATTTAGAGGATTCATATGGAAAATGTTGCTGGAGAGCAAGGTCTTGCTCTCCAGCAACATTTTTCCATACAAATCTTCTTATTCTTTCAAAAATTCAGACCATCATAAAATCTCACTCTCTGATGATGGGGGCCTCAAACTTGGCCATTTTGATATTTTCGACATGCTTTTTCCATTTCTGGCATTCGTTAGTTATAGCCCATAATTTTATGAAAAGTAGGTCACGTGATGGCTTAGCTGCAAAGGGCCTATTGTCAACTATCATCGCCTATCATGGGCTGTTTGACCAGGGCTTAACATTACGAAAAATGTAGTCATAAAAGAGGACCACATATAAAAATCTGCAGCAAAATTTAAACCTGAAAGGCGTAACAGCCATTGATTTGCGAGCAGGATTTGCTGGTGTCTTTGGTCTTTTCTCCCCGGTTGTTGTTGTCGCAGCAAAGGATTTACGAGCTACAGGCGTCTTTGGCTTTCCCTCATTGTCAGCAGTTCCCGAGAAGATGGGCTTGAAAATTTTGGGTGATTTCAATTTGAGTTTTTTGCCACTTGTAGCAGCTGCTGTTGCTATGGTTACTCTTGTTTGCCTGTTTCCAGGTTGGAAGAATGGCTTTGCTACAGGAGAACCAAATACAAAGGTTGATGATTTGTCGAGGCTTGTTACAGTGGGCTTGAAAGTAACCTCAGCTGGTTTGCCCTGACTTTTTCTAGTGGCTCCAGTTGACTGCAAGAAAGCAACCAAAGAACAAGAATTCTCAAAAGTTCCCAATTAAACATCTTGTTAATCTGTTAAGTAAATCTTGCACTAAGAAAGTTTTCTAATCTGTGTGCTAATAGTAACAATTGAAACATACTTTTCTTGTGGGAGTTTTTGAGTTTCTGTTGCCAGACTTGCAACTTGAGTTTATGACTTGGTCATAAACAAGAAAAATTAGTTGACAATCGCAGTTGATAACACAATTGACATGTCAATAACTTTTCATCCATCTGTTGCTACCCTGCACGTCCACAAAGAACACATGGAGTAGCACACACTACTCATAATTCTTCTAACCAAAGTGGCTTCCAGTATACAAATACAGCTGTACAGCTTTGGACTGAATGCTGGTATAAGAAAAGATGCAAACCATGGGACATATGTGAAGCTAATAATGGCAGCCCTTCCTTCTTCTACTAAAAAAGTGTTGAGTGGTTGCGGACTTTCCATGATCCACTGAGGTGTAGCTGATTTGATAATAAAGTAAGAGCAGTCCATGTTTTGCGTAGTCTATTGAGTGTGCCTGCGAGTAAACCTCAAGGCAAAGGTGGCCGTGCGAAATCCTGGGGACAAGACGCACACAAAAGGAGGGACTCCTTTCTCGTCCTCAGGTCATTATTTCCTCAAGGTTTTCTTTTGCATCATGCACAACAGACTAAGCAAAAGAGTGACTACTTTCAGTCTAATTTGATAATCACAGTGGGAGTAACATGACTGAGATCCATGATTGTATTGTCTTGGGTTTTCCTTGCCTTGGTCCTCTCACCTTAGCTCTCTTGAGAGGCTGATTAAACCCTTCCATTCTTTTTCTTTTTTTCTCCAAATAGATATCAATAGAGTCCATTCTGAAAATTGGATAGTTAAGGGGAGGTGTTAGTTTTGAGTTTGACAGATTACAGGTCATATTTGTAAAACAAATTTCTGAGTATTCTAAGTGAATTTCAATGCATGCTCTTAAAAATCAATTATAATAATTGCAGTTTCAAAGTCACACCTTAAATTGCTAACCATCATACACTGATGTTACATACTAAAGTTTTATTGACTTACTTTTCAAACTGTGACTGGTGAATTTTGTTCCATTTAGCATCTGTAACAAGAAGATACAACAGCTTGAGTTACAAAGTAAGAGAAAACAGGCTGGACAAACTAATAGTAAGACTTATTGTCAGCCACAACCGAACACTGTCCTCAGAAAGTTTACATTGCTCAAATTGTAATCCAGATGCCTAACATTATTTATGAGAAGTCTGTTTTGTCAGCCAATTAAAATCTTACCTACGGTTAAGGAGCTGGAGACAAGAACACACGTAACTTACCCGGAGTTTTATTTGTTTGTACTGCTGATGAATCTTTATTTAAGAACTGAACAAATCTGGGAATCTTACATTCCACTGGCACTAAAAGAGGCAGAAAAAAGTTTTCCTTTAATACAAGGTAAATAAATTGTGATTTGTTTTTTGCTATTAATAAAAAAGCTTGTGAACCTAGATACACCTGCCTACATACATGTATTATATCTCAGGGCTGTCATTAAGTTTTGAGCCACCTGTTACCTTGGTCTTCACACCTGTAACAAACTTGTTACTTTGTGGGTGAATTGAATCAATAAAACGGCTTGCAATTTCATCTGTAACATGAAGGGCCAGGCATTGTGGGTTACAGCCCTTAATGACAGCCCTGTATCTTAACTTGTAACAAGAAGCGGGGTGGCTAAAAAGTATTGGTGAAGATTGCAGCTGCTTTTAAAGGGTGCTTAGTTTCAATTTTCTACAGAAAATATGGTTAACTTTTTGGGCGTTGTCATGGATGGATTGCAGTAAATAAACAGTAAGTTGTTTTCTTTCCATGTGCATAAATAACTATCAGCAGACAATATTATAAAACTTACTTTTTTCCTCAACTTTCTTATCAAGCTGGTCCATGAGTTGCTTCTTATAACTGTCACTGTCGCTGTCATCTTTTTGTTTGTCTCCTGCCTCAGGTTTGTTAACAACCTCATTGACATGAACCTCCGCACACAAAGTGTTTTGAATTTGCTTTTCTTGTGAAACAGAAGAACTAGGGACACCCAGGAAAAAGAAAGGCTACAAGTTAACTTTTCATTTTTTTTTTTTGAAGGAATTACCTTGAAATAATCCAAAATACAACCCAAGAGTTTGAAGGTCTTGGAGTAACGGAGTAACCTGACCATGTATGTGGCATTGTGCTGTAAACAACCCAATACCACAAGACATCAGAGCCCCTACCTTTTGACTACCATAATAATATTGTAATTAATAATGGTAATAGGACTGAGTGGAGTCCAATTCAGTCTGTAATCAAACAAGGTGATTAACAAAATTGGACGACTCCGAAGTAGGAGTCCAATTTGTTAATCACGAGTATGATTACAGACTGAATTGGATGACGCAAAGCCCTGTTACCAATTAATCAAAACTATGACAAATTTTGAGAAATGAACAAACCATTGCTTGAGCGCTGAACGATTAAACATGGTTATGAACGCTGAAAAACACAGTTTACTCAACAAAGGGCACCGCAACAGTATGTGTAAAATGATGTGTACTGTCCAATTACAAGCATGATGCATACACTGCCCAATTAATGCTCAAATCGGGCTGCTGATAGCCAATCATGTTCGAGAATTTTGTTATAGTTTTGATTAAGTAGGTAATTGTTGGAAATCAACAATTAATTCCTTATCTAAGCTGGTTACTCAGCTCTGCCAAGCTATTTTTTTGCCTCAACAATCAAACTGCGAACTTCAAAACTTTGTGACAATTGTGTGCCCCTATTCTAATAAAACTTCCATTGCATGTTACATTCAAGAGATTGACGCTAAATAAACTGACCAGAGAAGTGTTCAAATTATGTGTTCTGTATTCTTTGTGTGTATGTATGAATGTAACATTCAACGAACTGACTTGGAATAAAGAATATTTTTATGGTGTTTCCCTACCTCTCTGCTTTCACAGAATTTTGTGATGCATACTCCCTAAGTGCTTCGATAAGCTGAGAATTCTGAAAGATGAAAAAGAATTTGGAATGAATACTGCACTCTCTAAACAACGTAATTATCCGCAAGACGAGCCAAGAAATATTACGATTCGGGGGATCGGAGTTCTCTTTCAGGTACTTAGTAAAGGCTGTAAACCACACGGGAGAAAGTTTAATATGTCAGTGGACGAGAAATCGAGCTTTGATTCGATCAAGTTCAGTGTGTCTCACTCGAAGCGATCATATCGATCAGTGAAGGAGTACATTTGAATCGCGGGCTAATAACATGCAGTTTTGTCACGCTCAGTAAAACAGTACAAGGCTAATGAGTGACTAATAACAGCTGACAAATAAAAGTTCATAAACACGGACTTTTGTGCATAATTTAGCGTATAACCCTTGTCCAGGAAAGCTCCTATGGGAACGTGAAGATTGAAAAGCACATACCTTGCTGTTCGCTTTGATTCCAACGCTCTTACACAGCTTTTGAAGTTCGCCGCGTTTCATTCCTTCAAGCTCATTTACGTTGAAAGTCACCTCCATTTTCCACATGAGATTAGGCTCCCTACAACTCTATCAGATCTCTCAAATATAACAAGCCTGGCTTAAGTAGTATTGTTCTGTTTCGCTCAAAACGAGATTTACTTCAACAAGGTTCAATCTCAACCGCGTTTGACTTTCGAACGTTTGATCGATAACAGGTGAAATATTCAAATTGACACACTTGTTCTTGATTGGTCGATATTCAAAAACGCGCGCGCCTGAAAACTAGTACTTAGTCTTCACACATTTACAAGGAACGCCTTGGTGTTTACATTTTTCACTAAAGTGGGTTGCCTGAGGTAAGAAAAACATCCAAAGATATTGTTTGGGTTCGGATAAATTGCATTCTATCAATATTTGTCTAATAGTCGACGATACAGTACTTCAAGTATTCATGTTTGCAAGGAAAATACGGGCTTTATGCATGGTTTTTACCCCGGTTCTCAGCGACATAACTTTTCGAACACCCGATCAAAGCGGCGTTCGATGCCTTTCACGAAGTGTCAGATAGCGTTGGTCTGTGCTGTCATCTGTAACTGTATCATTTTGTTCTACGTGTCCCATGTACAGAACATAAACGGGGAGTGGCCGGAACAAAGTCGATTAGCAGCAGTTAAAAACAAAATTGCCTTCCGCGGCGGAAACAGAGCTTGGCAATTTGAAAACGAAGTGACGATTGTCTTGCTCGAATTTGAAGTATTCGAAAATGACATCGGCCGCACGGTTCGTTCCTTCAAGGAATACTTCCCAAACGTCCATATTGTTATTATATCACACAGAAGACCTTACCCGCCATTAGATCTCCCGAATGGGAAAATTCAGCTGGTTGTACAAGAAGTATCTCCAGATCAAAAGCAATCATCTGGAAGGCCAGAGAATTATATCACGACACCCTACGTCATGTTTGTGCCAGATAGTGTCCGACTCGACTCAGCAAGCTTGCCAATTATGATGCTTGAAGAACTCAAAGCTTCATCTAGTTTAACACCTCAGTATAAAGTTGTTGCAGTGCCCGTGAAATCAAAAAAGGCTATCGAGTGCAACAAGGTTGCTTTTGATCTCAAGCGTTGGACGTTAGAGTATTCAGTTTCTGAAGAGCAGGCGCAGAGTTACTACAGAACTTGTGATTCTGTTGGCCCAAGTCAAGTGGTTTTGTTAAAAGCAGCATTTCTTCACAGCCTTAGCACACCCTACATGCGACCTTTTCCTCAAAGTTTGTTTATTCAAGCATCGCTGCACCATATTAAAACAAAACTACTCCACAAGGTGTCTTTCTCGCAGGGATTCAAGCTATTTACCAATGCTCACTCAAAATGGAAATATGAGAACAATATTAAAACAAGAACAGTTGACATGCACAAGAGATTAGGTATCAAGAAAGTCGTTCTCCCCTCTGGGCAGGTAGACTGGTATGGCTGTAGTAAAAACACAGGACGTTGTTTTGGTACTGTTCATCAAGACATGCCTGAGTATCTTTACATGTCGCGATGGACACCACCTTGCTGCCTTGAAAACCTGCGAGAAACAGCACGTTACCTCTTCAACATTCTAAACAAGGCAGGTGTTAGCTATTGGCTGGAGGGCGGCAGTCTGTTAGGTGCTGCTCGTTATGGTGATGTCATTCCCTGGGACTATGATGTTGATATTGGCATTTATCAGCATGAAATCAGCAAGTGCTCATATCTTGTTGAAGCAGAAAAACAGTCCAATGATGGAAAATCATTTGTCGACAATCAAGGCTTCACTTGGGAGAAAGCAACTGAAGGAGAGTTTTTTAGGATTCAGTACAGCCAATACAATCATTTGCATGTTGATATTTTTCCTTTCTTCGAAAAAGATGGAATTATGACAAAGAAGACATGGTTTGAAACTCACAGACAAGACAGGGAATTTCCTGCACATTATTTGAAGCCTCTAGGGACAATTGACTTTATTGGAATCAAAGCATCAGCTCCCAACAATGTTCGGGAATTTCTGGAGTTCAAGTTTGGTAAAGGAGTTGTTGAAAATCCTCAGTATCCAAACCCATCAAAGCTAAAGAAGAAACCCACCAGCAAGTCTTGATTTTTTTCCAGAAGAGTCATGTTATGTGACACACGTTGCGTGACATGGCCCTTTATCTACTTCTTAATGCTTCGATCCATGCCCTCAAGGTAAATGCATTAGCCTTGGGATTAAATGATCTGAGTTCCAGTAAAGTATATTATTAAACAACCCATCTCATTCCCAGGGTCACTCTTCTCCCCACCCCTAAGAGCATGAGGGACCCTAGATGTGACGATGACGACTCTGTGCTCTGATGAAGGGCTAATGCAAAACATCAGCTTTACAAAATAATTCACTTTGCTGGTTAATTTACATTTATCAACTTGAAGTTAATATATGGTTTAGTGTTAGCCAAAGGTGATCTGTCAAAATGCTGGACGTACATGTGGCCTAGAATGGACTAAAAGTCATCTAAGGGGTGTTAACCAAGCGATATTCCTGTTCATAGATTCTGCCAATCATGGAAGCATTGGCTTTTTTGAGCCACGAGGCTTATGAATTCCTATGCTGTACTTATCCAACTTTCTAGATGCTACTCAAGATCTCTCACTTTAATGTCTTCTGTTTGCATGCTCTGTCTGATAATTTAATACTTTGACTAAGATGATTTTTCAAAATATGAAGTTTGCTTTATAAATAGTTTAGCTAGGATTTTAAACATGTAAGTATAAATAAATCAAGGATCATACTATATTCGTGAACTTGTAATATTGTTTATGATTTTCTGTGTAAGTGTAATGTATAGAGATCTTTTTAAATTTTCCAAAATAATTAATTTCTATTTTATTGATATTTCATAATATTACAATTATTGTAAATGTAAAAGGACTCTGCCATTCATTATTTAACCTTGAATAACATTATTACTGCTTTCTTCCAGCATCCCTAATGACTGACTCTATACTTATTTTCAATGTATAAAGAGATTATTGCTACAAGAAACTAGTCTGTTTTTGGCTGAAATAACTCAGTGAAGTACTTCTTGGAATGCTCTTTTGCATGCAGTAAGGACGCTTCTTATAAAAATCATAAATAAATATTTTAAACTGTATTATCCAGTTTGGTTTTTCAGTGACTTTGCCTTAATTTCTGCTACATCTACAAATCACACACTCCCCAGCGTTCACTTTTGTTTATGATTTATTCCAAAAAATTTTGTGTCTTGTTAGTATAAAATATGAAGAAAGTACTCTGTATGCTTATATCTGTATCATAAGCCAAAGAGCCAAAGCTAAATACAACACTGTTACAGAAGGGTGCTTTTGAAATGAACCCCTATGAGGTACCAAGTCCTGTTTTATGGGCATGGCTTGAAATGTTTTTCACCCCTAAAAGGGTACTATTAAACAACACATCATCTCCTATCATATATTTTGGATCAGTACCCTAAAAGGTACCAAAATGTTCTTGCTGTACCTTTTGAGGCTCAACACCACAGAAAGTATCAAAACCACTTTTTTAACCCCTAAAAGGTATGACAAGCACTCCTGTTCTTTTTGTACCGGAGCCCCCCCCCCCCAGATTCTGTGGTTGTTCTATAAGTGTCTTTGCAAGAGTAGTTTGCAGGGACATGGTTCATACCCTCTTTTAATTTGGACTAAAAACTCACGGACTTTTCAAGGACATAAGTTCCTGACCACAAATCCAATATTTCAAGACTGTCCACTCAAAAAAGTACCATTAGATATTATTTTAGAATGTGACACCAGATGCACATCAGGGGTAGCCTGTGTCACAGATGCAACCTATCATGGGGAAATTTCTGTCTGCGATGCAGGCTAGTTTAAGGGTCACCTGCCCAATTTGTTCCAGTCAAGGTCTTTTTTTTAGTTCCTCCACCATGTGGAAAGAGCATTTTCTTGGGGTTAATTTTTGGTCCAGGGATTGTTGTTGTTGTTGTTTTTTTTTGGGGGGGGGAGGGGTTGTTGGATGTGAAGGTGCTTGGGTTGGTCGATTGGTTGACGAATGAGTAGATAGATGGATGTGTAGGTAAGCTGACTACTTGCGTCATCACAAATNTGTTCCAAGCCCAAGATTTTTGGGGGGTTTTGATTTTTGTCTCCATTTTAATAATCATCATTGTCACTTGAAAACCTGAGTTATACCCCCTGGTATATGCAAATGTTTCCACGAGATCACTGTGAGACAATACTCTTATGATTCTAAAGCTAACATATCAATAAATTTGTGAAAATTTGAACATTTCTGTTGCATCCCTGAAAAACATGTGGGCAGAATTTTTCCTCAAATTGTCAAATATCCAAGAAACCCAGATTGAAGCTAAATAAATTTATTGTCATGAGAAAATTAAGTATGTTTTAGGTTTCAATTGAGAATTAATCGATTTCCCAAAGGGGAATTGCTTTGTTTTCTGTTTTATCCAAAGGCCGTTTCCCGCGATCTAAAATGCCAGCGTGTGATTGGAACAAAACCGTTGAATGTTCTGGACGATTGACCCGATCTTTTTCGTGACCACTCGCGTTCCTGATTGGCCCTCTGAGAATAGATAATATATGCAGGAATATTGAATATCAAGCGAGCGAGTCCCGGCCCAGTTTTTGGGCGTCTCACAGTGCTTTTGATCAAGGATTCGATTGTCGCGTTCCTTGAAGCGCCCGCTTTAGCCGTGAAACTACAGCGAACTGCGCGGTCGATTGGGGCAATACAATCATGTCTGTTGATGTAAAACACCCGCTTGATGCGGCCAGCACTGATCTGTTAGAAGTAAGTCGCCATAGACTTGAACCACTCTCGACAAAGATGGAGGAGCGAGATGCAGACGTCATGAAGGTGCGTTTAACTTGATTTTTTTCAAAGATCGGCTTTTCATAAATCAACGACCTACTAAGCGAGGTATTCGTTAGGGTAAGGGCTTTATTTGAGACGAATCGGCAATAGTTTTTTTTCCCCAGGAAAGGTCTTATGTGGGCTGAATGTTTGAAATGTCACTTGTATTAGTGCGTGACGAAAGATGAGCTTGCTTCTAAAATGTGCGAACCGAATGATCACTCCTTCGATTGTTGAGTTCTTGGTTATCAAGCGAAACCTGAATGCAACGTAAAAATTAAATCAATCTCTAGGTATGGATTTATGGATTGAAGCCACGATGAGTATATATTGAAATTACTTATTTAAAGTCAAAGTCTGCAAGCTGGCTGACGGCAATATAAGCTTACGAATCCAAGCTTGCATATAACTTTCATTTGTCTCGCATGTGTTTTCGTTTCGAAGAATTCTTTGTATGTTCGATTCTATCGTTTCCAATTCTATGCAGTTTTTAATTATTTGCTCTCAAGTTTGCGTTGAAGATGCATGCAAACACGAACCTAAGTCGGTTCAAGCAGCAAGTTTCCAATTATTAAAAGGCTACATCGAGACGTGGTCAGAATCGAATGCAAACACGGTCGAACATGCTGGCATTTCGAGAATCTGTGTAAAACGATCGAGCTTGTTACTGTAAATCAAAGTTGTATCTGAACGTCCTTCGATTCATAGTTTGCTAACATGATGCCATAAAATAACTTGTGAAACAACAAATGGCTTGGTGGTTGCATGAGGGAGTACTTCATGCTTTCGAAACATGTTCACAGTCAAAGTTGACCACGTTTCAGTGATCGCGACCGTCACACGTTAAACGCCAGTCAAACGTGTTCTTCACACAGTGAATATGGCCGTTGGATGAAGTTTTATGCGTTTGATCGTTCCTTGCTGGAATATTATCAATACAAATAGCGTTGATGCAAATTTCCACGCTTTCAACCCGCCCATTCATTGAGTCGGTCGGCGCGTCCCATGATTCTTGATTGTTGCTTGTCATCGAAATCAACGTCGTAAAATGCGACTTTTTAGTTAAAACGTGCGTTTACTCTTTGTTTTCCGTATCTTTCTGTAGTAATACGAAGGATTCCTTATGTTTCTGCTTTATGAAAATTAGGGTTCAATACGATCCATAAGACAATTCATGTTGCATTCACAAACTGCGGCTGAATATATGATTTACGTCGAATCGAAGACTTGATCGAGAAGGGCATTTTGTTGGGTTCCTTGAGCTTTATGTTTCCTCACGCAAATCACACACTTTCGAACAATTTCCAGCAGAGATCGCAGCAGTCAATTCAAATGATGAGATTCTAAAGTAACATTTTAAATTCACGCAAAAGTGTAGAAAACATTATCGTGAAATATTGTTTACGGTTGTTTATGTGGTGCATATCTACAGCTTTGTTTGTTACCTGAAGTGCGAAAGTTTTGTGGTATAGTTTCATTGCAGTAGTGTATTTGTAACAAATGATGAGCAGTTTTGGAGCAATCCATGATGATATTAATGATTTAAAACCTGCAAAAGAGTTCTTACAGAAGCAGTGAAATGTTTTGACTAGACCTGTCAATGTTAACTTCCCCATATTTTGAGTCAAAGTGGAAGAACTGTATAATGCAGATGCAAACAATTCGCCACAATTGCAAGTATTATTTGCAAAATATTTTTAACGAAGGTGAAGGTCACATTTCTAGGTAGCAATATGAGCAAGTTGCCCACAGACCTAAATCGTTTGAGTCAAAATTGCCCAATCAGCCGCCAATAACTGGAATCTATGTCTACATGTAGGTCAAGAATAAATATTTGCAATCTCATCAACTTTTAAGCCTTTCAGTACCAAATTGCAAAATGTAAATTCCCCTTTCTCATTGTTATAAGTGACATTTGAGGTTGTTGTGAGAATATGATAATTCAGCAAAATTTTGTGAGAAAGGTTTAAAAGAGAGGACCCCCCCTAATAAGTGGTTTTCATTTTTCAGACACATGTCAATGTCAATGACAAGAAAATAACTTGTTTTGATATTAAATCATGTCATACATCATTGCACATATTTGCTTCAGTTTGTTGGCTACTGCAAATGACAAGAAGCTGGATTTTTACATATCATTATGTGTCTGGAGTCAAGTTGTATAACTGACATCTCAAAGCCTTTCAACATTTTGCACATAACAGAAGTCGAGTTTTGTTTGATCGTTTGCAAGTAATGCTGCCACTTGTTTTCATGAACATCCAGACACATTCTAGATCGTAGGGCGTTAAGTGTTCATTATTTTAATCTGTCACATTATCCATTTAATAATTATGAACAATTCTGATTTTAACTGTAGTAGCTTGTTGTGCAAATATTATTAATAGCTACTTGCTCATGCATAATAGTACAGCTGTTTGCAGGGCTCATTAGCCAGAAAAAAATTAAGGCTGAAGCAATGTCCATGGTTAAATTCTCTTCCTTGGTATTAAAGCAGTATTTTACTTTCCCCTTCAAAAAACAAACAGAAACAAAAAATCTTCCCATTTATAAACTTGGTGGCAGCCTAATTGAAAAGATCCTGATTGACTTTTTTACAGCCCTTCAGGCAGGCCTCACTTGTTTGCCAAAAAGTTTGAGGCTAGGCTAAGGATCTCCTACTGTCTTAGATGTGTTGCATGTAAATTGCTACATAGTGCGTATGCACGAAACATGCANATTATTTGCAAAATATTTTTAACGAAGGTGAAGGTCACATTTCTAGGTAGCAATATGAGCAAGTTGCCCACAGACCTAAATCGTTTGAGTCAAAATTGCCCAATCAGCCGCCAATAACTGGAATCTATGTCTACATGTAGGTCAAGAATAAATATTTGCAATCTCATCAACTTTTAAGCCTTTCAGTACCAAATTGCAAAATATAAATTCCCCTTTCTCATTGTTATAAATGACATTTGAGGTTGTTGTGAAAATATGATGATTCAGCAAAATTTTGTGAGAAAGGTTTAAAAGAGAGGACCCCCCCCCCCTAATAAGTGGTTTTCATTTTTCAGACACATGTCATTGTCAATGACAAGAAAATAACTTGTTTTGATGTTAAATCATGTCATACATCATTGCACATATTTGCTTCAGTTTGTTGACTACTGCAAATGACAAGAAGCTGGATTTTTACATATCATTATGTGTCTGGAGTCAAAGTTGAATACCTGACATCTCAAAGCTTTTCAACATTTTGCACATAAGAGAAGTCGAGTTTTGTTTGATCGTTTGCAAGGAATGCTGCCACTTGTTTTCATGAACATCAAGACAAATTCTTGATCGTAGGGCATTAAGTGTTCATTATTTTAATCTGTCACATTATCCATTTAATAATTATGAAAAATTATGATTTTAACTGTAGTAGCTTGTTGTGCAAATATTATTAATAGCTACTTGCTCATGCATAATAGTACAGCTGTTTGCAGGGCTCATTAGCCAGAAAAAAATTAAGGCTGAAGCAATGTCCATGGTTAAATTCTCTTCCTTGGTATTAAAGCAGTATTTTACTTTCCCCTTCAAAAAACAAACAGAAACAAAAAATCTTCCCATTTATAAACTTGGTGGCAGCCTAATTGAAAAGATCCTGATTGACTTTTTTACAGCCCTTCAGGCAGGCCTCACTTGTTTGCCAAAAAGTTTGAGGCTAGGCTAAGGATCTCCTACTGTCTTAGATGTGTTGCATGTAAATTGCTACATAGTGCGTATGCACGAAACATGCAATATCTTAGGAATCAATTTCTTAGGAAGCAATTTCTTTTGAAACTAATTGGTATTGAAGGTTTACACTGTAAACGTGTAAATGTGTATTTGAGTCTCAAGTAACTGATTACACTATGTACCAGGACTCATAATTATCAACTGAAACAAGCAGATTGTCATAAAAGGCAAGTAACNGGTCTCATAATTTTCACCTGTACCAGGGCTTGTCATCTGGGGCAAGCAGATTGTCCTGCCAGGCAAGTAACTTCATTCTCACTCGCCTTATGGACCAGGGCCCAGGCAAGTCATCTGCCAACTTAATTAATTTAAACAAAGTAAACAAAGACTTGCCCAGGGTCAAGCAATATTTGAGAGCTGCTTGTCTGAAGCTAGGATAAGCTGGAATTCAAGTTTTTTCAAAACATTGCATGTGCATGGTTATGATTCAACATTTTTGCATTTTGCCACCAGTACTGATCAGACATCAACTACTCTCAAGCAATTGCCTCTTTTGTCTCAACTTTTGGTTAAATTTAAATATTATTTTATTCGAAACACTTGTAGAGTAGACTTCTTTCTTATCTTCTCCACAAACAAAAAAATTGATCTTTGTAATTAGTTTTCCCAAATGTAGTACTGGCCAGACAATAACTTTTCTGCGAATTCCAGGCTTTCTTGGCCTTGCAAAAGAAACTGTGACCTGACACATGTAACAGCATGGAAAAAATCTGAGACGGTGTGACCAGAGTGATTTGACTATGATTCACTAAAATTCTGCAAGACACAATCTTGTATTGCTACATATAACACTATATACATGTACATGTAGTTGGCAACCAAAGTGCTCTATAATTTTTCTCTAGCACAATCTGCTTGCCAAGGACAATAAATTTATAATTATTTGTTGATTTGCATCAGCAGTTGTTAAATTCTTGTTGGATTTCTATGATTGCTATGAATGGATGTGAAATATATCCAAGAGATTAGTATTCTGGTATAAAACCAGTCATGATTTTTGGATGGTTGATTTTGACAGGTCCTTGCAACCTTGGCCAAAATCTTTGTTTCTGTTATGGAGATATCGGTGGTGTAGTTGGATTTACATGGAAAAGAATCAGATTCAGAGATTTCATATTTTTCCATCAAAGGAATGCATCTTGCTAACACATGTAGTTCTGTACACCTGTAACTACAACATTGTGTACAGTATGCATCTCTGATTTAACTAAGTTAAACATGATCAAATTTACAGACGTTTGCAACTGTTTGGAAAACTAAGTTTAAGCTTATGCAGGCATGTCTAAATATTTTTGCAAAACTTTTTGGAAATGCATGCATTTGTACATGTCTGATCTTTTGCACATTGCAGAGCAGCATTATATTATGAGCAGAAAGTTGCTATCGTCAAATAGAGCAAGCTAATCCAAGAAATTTTTGGTGCTTGAGCTTATATCAAAGTCAATATAAGCCTAATATATGTAAGAAAATGCTATTTTACAGTAAACAGAATATTTTATTAATAAAAGGTCAAAAGGTTATTGTGGTCTGCTTTAAAAGCTATTTAGGTGAATAATAAGAAATTTATCACTCTCACTGTGGATTAAAATTGTTCTCTAAAAACAAACAAACTTACCGCCTTCGTAAATGGTGAGAAATTGCTGTAAAATTGAAAAGAAATTGCTCCGTTGGTGTTAATTTCATTGCTGTTAGCTTGTATTTCCCGGGCATAATGTATTCTCAAAGAGCTCGTGACTCACGAGCTATAAAAAGCAACTCCATTGGCTGGTTGTTTTATTAGACGCTTTCTGATTGGCTATCGCCCATTTCTGGTAGGGCGGGGAAGCTAAAAGGTGTCACGTGGAATGCGCTGCGGTGCCCAATAGTTAAGTCAGTTTTTGCATTCTCCGTTTGTTTTCCTCGTGAAAGTTTATGTACGATGTTAAAGCGTCCTCTTTAATTCAAAAAGAAGCTGGCTACCTCAGATTTCGTGGACGGTATTCGACAGGGTCGCGGGATTTGATCAAAAGAGGCGCTAGGTATTTGTGTTGAATTGGTTCACATCAATTGTAGGTTCAGTTCGTCGAGTGGTTACCGTGACAAATACTACAGAAATCAAGCAAATATACCACCGAGAAAGAAGCGGAGTTTTAAGTTGATCTGTCCTAGAAAGGCAGTATTGTTTCGCTGCGAAATCTTTGTACGTTTAGCTTCATTTTAGGCCGAAAGATCGAAAGGGTTTACATCGCGTTCGCACCCCTTCGTGCCTCGCTTGAATTAGCTTTCCTAATGTTCTTCTCCTCTAAATTTGGGTTTAAGAAGAAACGAAGTACTTATTATTATACTCTCTCATGTTCCAGGCTTTTATCCAGTCTATGGGAACAATGGGTGAGGTTTCAGCAGACTATAGGGACTCCGAAGAAGATCAGTGGATGGAACAACAGAGTTCGGCGAGACTCTTCGAAAGATCACGAATCAAAGTTCTAGCAGGTTCGTGATTCTATTGTTGTCTGCCATGTGTAATTACGGTTGGAAAATGGCGAACACGTAGCTCATAAACGCATCTCTGCTAATGATAAGCATGTGTACTTGCATGTGAGCGGCATGTTTTATTCAGTCTTAACTGAAGATAAAATGTAAATAATTTATTATCTTCGTATAGCGATCACTTTGTACATATTGAGTTTTATGGCTTCAAGCAATGTCAGTTTTGATCGGTTATCGTATGTCTTGGCTCGATACGTTTAATTGCTCATGTGAAATAGCTTTGAGGTACGAAGACATTCTAAGATGGAGGAAATTAATAAGCTTTTCCTGCACCCGACTTTATTGTTTTGCTTCGATCGTGTTTTGGTTTTCGCCGCATGCCGAGGAACCGAGTTGATTGAGCCATCAACTTTTTGCCAGACAGGTTTACCGCTTATCACATCTCGAATATTTCCCTCTTACCCAGACAGAACCTGAAACGAATTAAATAGATATCGAAGCGGGATTGTCTGGTAAAAGTCGCAATATTTAAGTCGAATTTTAATTAAGGTGATAGGTGGGGTTCCGACGTGAAAATTGCGTGATCTTTTGACCAGCGTGCAAATTGATAATTTGCAGGTAACTAAGAACGAAATAGGTCTAATACTGCGGTTGTTTACTAGTTATTTGCTTGCATGTTTTCACTCACAATAAAGAAAATTCCGTGTTCATTGTTTTATCATTAGAATATAAAAAGTGTTCCTCAAGAACAACAAAAAAATGATGAGGTGATGTTGTTCTTTCCTAATGAAACTTATCTTTCCGTTTCGTGGTATTCGAACCGAAGATCGGATCCAATATTGCTTGCCTTGCTTCCAACGATTTAACTACAAAGATAGGTACACATAAACTTGTTTACATCGTTTGGAATTTCCCACACCTCAGGTGACGAAATAAATCAGATGTACATTTCAATAACCTTGTCATATATTAATTGTATTTTCTGCCGTACCTGCGTTGCTAATTATTTTACACAAAATTTTGACGATGAATTGTAAAAGTATTTATTTATTTATTTGATTAAGTTTGAACAGTCATCTTGCTTCTTGGAAATTCTGACTATATTATAGTACTGCATTTAAGATTAGCCAGTGGCCTAATGTACCTGTAAGTTGAATTTTAACAGCTTAATAAACGTGAGCCTACACTTAAGTGCAGGCTTTGGTACCTACTGTATGTCAGTGTTTCTTTGAGGGGAGGGGATACAGAATCATTACCATGTTATGATGGTGGGATTATCTTAGATTAGATAACATTATTTCAAGTATTTTATTTGCGTTTAGACAGTTCTGTGTAAATTTATTCCTTTGATTATTTGCAGATGAAAGAGAAAAAGTTCAACGTAAGACATTCACAAAATGGATTAACTCACATCTTCAACGGGTTGGAGCCAGGGTAAATGATATGTACCATGATCTACAAGATGGAAAAAAGCTCATTCTACTTCTTGAGATTCTCTCTGGAGAAAAACTGGTAAGAGCCTGCACATTTAATAATGTCTAGCAATTATTAACAAACAGTACTTTTTTTGTATTATTTTAGGAGTATCAAGGATTCTTCTTAATTTCTATGCATCATTGTTATCTTCAGTCTTTAAAAAGTGTTATTTTTTCCACAGTCGCTGAAAATATAAACCCAGAATACTTATTATCTATTTAAATGCTTACTTTTTCTCGCTCATTTTTTTTTTCACATGTATAGCCTAAACCATCCAAAGGGAGAATGAGAATTCACCAACTTGAAAATGTAGACAAAGCTTTGACATTCTTGAAACAAAAACAGGTAAGCAGATTAAGTTCTTTCTTTGATGAAGCATTTTTTGGTTTGCAGGTTCAACACCAAAATTCTCCATACTGCTTGTGTTAAGTTTGCTGTTAAGATCTCATCTTCTCTTGTGAGAATTTGATGCTTGATCCGTAAGATTTTGTTACGATGACAAGGGTTATCCCATGTTCTCACTGTTATCTGTTGCTTGCTTGGATTTGTTGTAAGACTACACACCTTGAGAACTTAAACTGGGATTAATAATCTCATAATTTTTTGAAAAAATTTCATGGGTCTCAGTGTTGTTGTTTTTAATTAGTGGTTTTGCTGTCTCGGGAGTGTCAATTTTTTGTAAGGCCAAGAAAGGCTTGAAGTCGTAATGTTTTTTGTTTACAAGTTTTATAAATGAGATATAAATGTCTCGAAGTTTTTAGGAACATCTCTCAGTCGTATTTAAAACAATATCATTTATGTCTTGGTCTCACATTCCATAATGTGAAAATGTCTCTGGCTTGTAAAGAAAAATGCTAGTCTTGCCTTCTCACAAAGTCTCGTACTAACTTAGCGATTCACCACCTCTAATAATAGATGGATACTAAGTACTACCTTTTTATGTCAGTGATTGATGTGGAAATGTAGTCAGTCCTAAGTTTTTGGTTTGCTTTGTTTTGTTTTGGGATTCTTAGGTCCATTTGGAGAATATTGGTGCTCATGACATCGTTGATGGAAATAACAAGATTACTCTTGGTCTGATATGGACAATCATCCTTCGATTCCAGGTAACAATAAATTCTCACCGTAACTTAATGATACTTTAAACAAAACGAATACCATTATGATTTTGATTATCCCAAATCCATGAAAATATAAAGTTCAAGGTTGCAGCTTCAGCAAACTAATAGCAAGATTCCTTAGTTCAGAGCATATCACTTTCATTAACCATTGGCATAAATTGAAGCTGTAATAAACTCTTGATTGCCTATTGCTTTAGTACATAGTTGGCCCATTATGTTTTGTTTTGCAACTGATGTTCAATTTTGTTTCTAGATTCAAGATATCACCATTGAAGGAGAAACAAAGGAGAAGAGATCCGCGAAAGATGCATTGTTGCTCTGGGTTCAATCTAAGACTGTCGGGTACGTGCCCAATGGTGGTTCTTTTTCAGTTGTGTTACACACTGTACTTGCAAGTATTGTCCAAGAAGTTTTACAGTCTAATGCCCTAACAATTTAAATTATCATGTGTAGGTACCGAAACGTCACTGTGTCCAACTTCACCACTAGCTGGCGTGATGGACTGGCATTCTGCGCACTAATTCACAGACACAGGTAAGAGTATGCAGGTGTTCATGAAAGGCAGGGTAATGTGTACGTCAGACCAGAAGTTCATACAGCCGGAGCTTATCCTTCTGTAAGAGTAAATCTACCCTCTCTCTCTCTTTGTCCCTCCCTGGATGGGATGCTAATCTGTTGCAGGGTTATACCCCCCCCCCAACCTCCGCATTTGTTCATTCCAATTATTGAGTAAAGTGTCTTGCCCTAGAACATGAACCATGGTCAATTGAGTAATTTCACCCCTGCATGTAGTTGAGCGATTGCTTAAATTATTCTCTTTGTCTTTCACTTGATGTTGTCCTGATACAAGAGGGAGAAATTAATTTGGTTGCCCCTTTGAATAAAAGAGTGATCTAGGAAGTTGAGAAAGGCAGCTGATTCATAATCTGATATTTTATTTTCTGACTTGTTTTTGTTGATGTCTGTAGACCTGACCTGATTGAATATGAGAAGCTCACAAAGGCTGAACCCGAGAAGAACTTGAATCTTGCATTTGAAGTCGCAGAAACACAGCTTGAAATACCACAACTGCTGGAAGCAGAAGGTATAATGAAATATGACGAATCATATTGTTAAACTCTGCCAAACTTTCCTTAATTTATTTGTCTTGGCCAAACGTCCTAGGCAACAAACAGAAGCTCCCTCTTTAGCAGTTTAGCTGACATTAATGTTAACAAGGTTCATATAATGGAACCAACAAATAATGTGAGCTTTGGTGTAATAATTTAAAACACAAAAACTGAATAAATGCAAATACAAAGATCAGCTCGCAAACTACATGTAACAGGTAAATGGCACGTTACAAACTTGTTTCTGATGATCAACATGCATGTAGTTTTGATCGTGACTTGTATTTTGCTTTTTAGATGTGAACGTTGACTTTCCTGATGAGAAGTCAGTCATCACGTATGTTGCTGCTTACTATCACTATTTTGCTAAGATGAAGACGGTGGAAGTCAGTGGCAGCAGAATTGGCAAGGTAAATTTCTAACATTACCTAGTGTTCTGGGTTGGTTTGATTTACAGGTGCCAAGTGCTTTGTACAAGTTCAAATGGTGTTTTTGATTGTACTTCAGGTGATAGAACGCATCAAGGAAAATTCTGAGCTGATTGAAGAGTACGAGAGGCTAGCAACTGATCTCCTGGAGTGGATTCAAATTACGATTGTTAAGCTGTCAGACAGAAAGTTTGCCAACACACTTGTCGGGGTGCAGCAACAGATGTTGGAGTTTAATCAGTACAGAACTCAAGAAAAACCTCCAAGGTAGGAAGCTAGAAACATTTAAATATACAATCTATGTACACTTTTACTACCTTATAGTATTGGTGGAGTGGCAGATATCATAAAACGTCTACAGTTGGGCACCCCTTTTGACTACAGTAACATAAAAATGTAATGTAAAAGCTGTTTCGGTCAGTGACTTCCTGGGAGAGTTAAACTCCAAAACTCAACCCTTCTCCTAACCATGCAATTCTGCATAATGTAGCAAACACGCAGTGAACTGCTTGAATTGACTATGTTTTCCTGAAACTTGCAGGTTTGTGGAAAAAGGCAATCTAGAAGTCCAGCTGTTTATTCTAACGAGCAAATTGCGGGCCAATCATCAGAAGATGTACACGCCTCCTGAGAGCAAGGCACTGAGTGATATCAACAGAGTATGTATTGGGGAATAGTACTACATGTGTAACATAGAGGGTATTACATGCCTGCGCATGGATACGAATGTTATCTTTGAGTGTTCAACCCGATATCTAAGGAGTGAGCACAGCAAATGAGCGAGATATGGAGTTGAACACGTGAAGATAAATTCGTATCCACAAGCAGGCATGTAATATTGTTTATTATATAAACATACTAATAACCACGTTTTTGACAATTTTCTGAAGAATTCCAACCACTTTACCAAAGATTTCCGAAGATTTTCCAAAATTGTTCCAAAGGTCAGATGAACGCTACCGAACATTTTCAGAACATTTCCGAACATTTTCCTAAGATTACCAAAGATTGCTGAAGATTGCTGAAGACAACCGAAGAAGATCCGAAGATGTTTCGAGCATACATCAACAACTAGAAGTGTAGTTGAAGGGACGAAAGAAAAAAGTTATCAAAAAGGAATGATATCTTCACAGTGTAAAAGATAAAAATAGTATCTTCACTGCACATGATGAAGATATGATTTTTGAGTAAAAGGAAAAATCCTGGTATTTCACTGGTGTTTATATAATAAAATGAGATAAATTAATTATGACAAAGGGTATTAAATGAATCAAGATGGGCAGGAAGTATATATAGAAAGCCTGGGATAGACTCCAAAACTGGACAGCCCTCTCATCTGGGTTTAGAGGGTTTATGTCGTGGTGTCATATATGGTGCCATGCGAAAGGAAACATGGAAAAGTTGATCCAGACTATAACATGTTCTGTCCAGGAGAAAAACTAGATTCAACAGAGGAGTGCACAGAAACTCCTTAATTTTGTTAGTGCTTTTCACAAGATTACATATTTTGTTATGTACTTTCATGAAACTGTAATTGGTGTTCAAAGGAGAATTTCTGTTGATTTATACTTTTGGATTTGTTTGTAACTTAGGCATGGGAGTCGCTAGAAAGAGCCGAACATGAGAGAGAACTTGCATTGAGAGAGGAGCTGATGAGGTACATGTACATCTACTGCCTTTGAAATCTTTCTTGTCATGATTCTTCTCATTAGTCAATCCTATGTACATAACTTTTTCACCCATTCTGTGTACTGTAACACAACCTATGTCTTTGTGCATTTGATCACTTCTATTTGTCCTGTGTGCCACTTCAGTCATTGTACTGTCCCTATTAGTTTTCCAATTTCTCTTAACTAATTATTATCATTATTACCTTTTTAATTTAGACAAGAAAGACTTGAGATGCTTGCTGCAAAGTTCGACCGAAAGGTTAGTGGTTGTTTTACATGAATTTTCCAAAAGCTAATGATAGACAGTGATTGACTTATTGATCATGATTGTTAATACTCACAGGCTGCCATGAGAGAGACATGGCTGAATGAGAACCAGCGCCTGGTGTCTCAAGACAACTTTGGCAATGACATAGCTGCCGTGGAAGCTGCAACCAAGAAACATGAAGCCATTGAAACTGATATCATGGTAAGCTAGTTGACATTGTGAGGTTTACTTGTGAGTTGCCCAGCTCAAGAAGTAAAGATGTCTGTCCTCTTAAGAAGTTGGTGGTAAAAGCTCAGAATTGATATTGGTGTGTGTTATTTCAGGCTTATGAAGAACGTATCAAAGCCATTGTTCAAGTTGCAGATGAATTACAGAGGGAAAACTTCCATGAATCTGATAGAATTCAACAGAGGTTTGTTCAGCAGTTTTGTTTACATCTCATGTTAGGTGTTACTATGTATATTTGTGGGACAAGAACTTTGTAATCTTTATTTTTGATGTTTGTTGGTTTGTCTCGCTGCTATGGACATATAGGCGTAAAATCATTCAACTTCAACCTACATGTAAGTGTATCAGATCAGATGTTAAATGCCAATTGTGGAAGTGTTTTGCTTGGTAATAACTTTCTTGTGCTTTTTTTTTTTTGCAGGAAAGACCTGATTCTACAGCTGTGGGAGCAGCTTTTGGAGTTACTCAAACGTCGCCGTTCTCGACTGGAGAAGAGCATGAAATTGCAACGTTGCTTCCAGGAAATGATCAACACCATTGACTGGATGGATGAGATTAAGGTATTTGTACAAATAGTTACTGAGTCAGACTGTGGATGGTTATTTTTTTATTTTAATGAATGGTTTGGTGTCTGTTTTCTCTACGTAATTTTGCAAAATTTCTTTGCAATTGCAGATGGGCCTTTTGTCTGAGGACTATGGTAAACATTTGCTCGGTGTGGAAGATCTGTTACAGAAACACAGCTTAGTAGAAGCAGATATTGCTGCACAAGCAGACCGTGTCAAGTCTGTTAACGAGCAGGCTGAAATATTCTTACACCTCGACAATGAAGAGGATGGTATGTAGACAACCATGTTGTGTTGTTGCCGGCGAGGTTTTGCGGCCTCGTAGGTTATGTTCTGGTTTGATGCATGGCTTGAATTTCCATCTCCCTGAGTCATACATTCCCAAATAAACATCTGAAAACATTGCGTGACATCATGTCACTGTTTTGATGTCTTTTCTGGAGAGTACAACTCAAGGTGTTGGCTGAAATTCAGGCCAGGCTTCAATGCCTTAACATTGATTCATGGCAGAATCTGACTTCTAACCTGTTTGAACAGCAATGCAATATTGATATGAAAAATTTATGCTGTGTTTACATTTGAGCTTTTACCAAGGTAAACAGTTACTAAGGTCAAGTTACTTAACCTTGGTACATTCGTCCAGTGTTTATACCGGCTCAAATAACTCAAGTTGATCTTTCAACATTTGCGCGTGCTGTATTATCAACGTCATGAAATCGAACTTGGAGGAGGATCCCACCGCAGTGGAACAGGAGCAAATTGAGGTGCCATCATTTTCATAGGCGAGGACCTCATTTCCTAAAATTGCTGCGAAAATTCAGCTGCTTGATCATACCCAGAGTATGCATGGATACGTTGTATCTGCAGCATCCTCCCTGGTGGCAAAATATATCTACAATAATTACACAACATAGGATCGAAGTTTGTCTAGAGAAAGTTGTAAATAATACTGAGAATGAAAAATACAATGCTCTCTTTTATGTGACGGATTGTTCGCTGTAAGAAGATCGATCCAATCTTTCCACGTTATCTGCCATGATCACCTAGTGAAAACTGGAAAAGAAACGCTTTGTCGACAATAGCACAATCTGCTCACTGCGAGAGGTGAAATATTACGCCGCCACAAGCGGATGTATCTGTCATCTTGACCTTGGTTACCAACTGTAACCATGCCTCATCACAGGGTAATTACAACTTTTACCTCGGTTAAATTTCTTTTGTCTTTTGTGGCGTTTACCAAAGTATCAGTTGGCGTTTACACCTGGAAAATGTTTACCTAGGTATGTAAAGTCTGGTACCTCGGTAAACCGTTCAAGTCTAAACACAGCATAAGTCTGTCTAGCAAATGCTAACTAACATTTGCACTAACATTTCAACAGGTTTCAAACCAGATGAAAACCAGATCAGAGATCATCAAGCTGAACTAGAAGGAGCCTACAATGAACTCTTGATGCTCGCTGCAACAAGGCGTGGCAGGTTAGATGAGTCACACAAGCTGCAGACATTCTATCGTGATGCGGAGGAGGAAGAAATGTGGGTGTCAGAGAAGGCTTATTCACTGCAGTCTACAGACTATGGGCATGATCTTAACAGTGCCATGGTGCTGCTGAACAAGCATGAGGTTTGTGATGCATTTTCACCTTTTAGTCTAAATTCTCCTCACTTGTGATCATACATTACCGTACTATACATTATGAGAATTTGTCAGTTTATTAATCTTTCAATCTTTCTTTGTCAATTTCTCAGGCGGTGGAACGTGAGATGGCCAAGCGTGACACCCACACAAGAGCAGTGATGAAAAGTGGCCAGGATCTTGTGGACTCTGGACACTACTCCTCAGACACAATTCAGTCTCGCATGCTCAGCATTCAAAATAAGTGGAGGAGCCTGCATGATGTTGCAGGATATCGCAAGAAGAAGATCCAGGAAAACCTGCAGCTGCAACAGTTTATTGCCGACTACAATGACATCATGTCATGGCTGGATATGATGGAAAGGATAGTTGCCAATGATGACCTTGGTTATGATGAGGCTAGTGCTGATGCATTGTTGAAAAAACACAAGGTGTGTGTGTACCTTTGATTGCATCAATTCATCTTAACGTATCACATCCGAAACTGAAATCAGTTTGTCATTGACTGTTCTTTTTCAATGCTAACCTACCTTCATAATTTATTCTGACCTACAGATCATTGAAGAAGACATTGAAAATTACGCTTCAGTGATCAAAGGTCTTCATGACCAAGTTGACGAACTTGGTGACGAGGACAAGACATCTCCTGAAGTTGTTGACAGATGCAGAAAGTAAGTACTGAAATGTCTGTGTGCTTATATCAATGTTCCTTGGATCAGGTTCCATTTTAATAATCAGTCATTTAATTTTTCAACACCGAATTTGTTGAAAGTTTTAATGCCACATACATGTAAACCTTGTTCCCCTCTGTAGTGTGGACACCCGGTACAACAACTTGCAGTTACAGGCAGCAAATCGCCGACACAAACTTCTGGATGCCCTTTCACTCCATCAGCTCAACAGAGATGCATACATTGTGGATAGCTGGATAAATGAAAAGGTTAGTTGAATGAATGTGTACAAGTTAAGTGAAGAACTTTGCTCCAAGTAGTGACAAAGTGGACAGTTTTTACCTAAGAAGTTGTTACTGTAGGCAACATACATGTACATAATGATGTGAACATTCTCTCAAAGAAAAGTCTCACACAGTGTATGGACTTTAAAGGTCTTTTGATTCCTTATTATTGTTTTGTGAATAAAACTAAGTTTGCATTTTTCCTAGACTGGTTTGCTTTAAATACTTGGCAAAAAGTGTACTTTGAGTGTTGTACAAAACCCAAAAAACTTAACCGATGTATGTCTGCTATCTGTCATACAGATCTCTGCCTTTCCCGGACCTCTGTTGATCACTGATTTTTTTGTATATATCTGCTATATATTTTCCAAAGCATACATGTTTAAAGTTTTCGTATTTTTGCATTTGTAGGAGGATAGACTTGAAGCAGCCCTAACTGTCGACAAAAGCATGGATTTGGAAGAATGCCAAGTTATTGACAACAGATTTGAAGGCTTCCAACAAGTATGTACCAACCTCTGTGAAATTCTTCTCCGATTGTCAAGGAACTTTTTTGTTTTAATTTTTGGCAAATTTTATTTGGTTTAAGATTAATGTGACTGATTTTATAACCAAGAGTTGTATGTTCTTTGCAGGAGTTGAATGCTAATGAGAAGCGTGTCGGAGTTGTTAATGATCTTGGAGGCCAGCTCATTGAGAAAGGGCACATCAATTCTGATGAGATCAAAGACACTATTGATGGACTCAACACAAAGTAAGTTGTGTTAAATGTGCTTCTTCTTCTTTGACAATGTATTATATAGTCACAAGAAATATCGTGCTCATGAAGGATATTTGACTTCTGTATACCAGGTGGGCAAATCTTCGAAATGCTGCCGATATCAAGAAGGCCAAACTAGACAAAGCACTCAGGCTTCAGCAATTCCATGCTGATATTACTGAGACCAAGGTATGCATCTTTCACAAAAGTAAACTTGCATAAAATTGATGTAAAACGCTAAGAAAAGGTTTTGCAACTTCTGAATAAGGAAGTGATATGTTTGTTCTATTCCTTTCATGGAAAAAAAAGATGAATACCGGTACACAAAATTAATACGTCATTATGTAGTGATTGCAATTTATAATTACTGTAGTTCTTTATATTCACTGCTTCCCACTGGTAGAATGATTGGTCTGACATCCTAAAACCCATCTGTTAGGCATGGAAAGTTATAAATTAAAGAAAAATTTGATTTAATCATTAAGTCTGGATAGTTGAATAGTAAATTTACAATGGTTTGATTTCTGAACTAAGGTAGAACTCCTCTTAGGAGACCTTTCCATACTGTGGACATTTTTATGTGAGGGACAAGTACATGTAGATCACGTGGTCCCAGAGAAACCAGAATGAGTTATAATCTTTAGCTGTACCATATGGACGTTAAGCTTCACCTCTATGGTGTTCATACTAAAGGGGTTTGACTGTAGCAAAGTTATTGAATGATGGACCTCTTTTCTTGTGTTTTCTTCGCTGTGTTTAGTTATGGATTACAGAGAAATCAAGTCTTCTGCTTAGCGTTGAGGAGGTCACCAACATGAAGGACCTTGCTACTGTCATGATCTTGCAACGACGTCTCAACAGCATCCAGAGAGACTTGGGACCTCTGGAAGACAAGGTAAACCTTCTTACATGTATGTAAGCAGACAAAGCCTCCTAACTATTCTTCTTGCATTTCTTGTAGAACTAGTTGGGAGATTTATTTGAAAATCACAACAATTCTATTACTTCTTTTGGGATCATTTACTTGATTCTCATTACATGTATGTTTGATTATGCAATGCCATTATCAGGAGAAAATGGCAATTGATCAATTGGACTCCAATTAAGAAAGACTAAACATAGCCAAAGATCTGTAAGTAATTCCTTGTTAGAAGTTAAGAGAAGCAAGCACACACACACAAAAAAACTAATTAATTGGCTCAACTTGGCTTTGTACAAATCCTGGCCCTAATGTAGCTCATTACGACATGTTGTTTTTTTTGTTGTTGTTGTTTACTGTACAACTAATTAAATGGCAGTAATAATGCGACAAAAGTGTAAACAGCTCTGAAAAAGTTTCTTTTGGTTTAGTTGTCCTGCTTTGCTTCCATAGGTCACAAAGTTAGAGAGTGATTCTGAAGTCCTTTGCTCTGAATACCAAGGGGTAAGACAGAAATAACTGTATAAAATACAATTTAGATTGTTGAGAAAATAAAGAGAGATCTCAACATTTAAAATGGAGTAGGGATTGTACCCTGTATCTGCATCGAGCAATTACAACAATGTACGATGAATCACTGATCAAACTAAATACAATGTGTTTTTGTCCTGTATTTAATCTTCTTCTTTTGTGTTGTATCCGTAGGAACCAGAGGAGCCCATCATCAGAGACAAAATGACTGTTGTTAGCAGTGCCTGGGTTGACCTTAAAGACAATGTGAGTTGAATTTTTTTTTTTTCCATTCTGACAACAGAACACTTAATCAATATAGCCAAACGATTTTCGGCATACGGGAATTAATCAGGACTGTTTATTCATCATAGCATAAGTTTTCTGTTTAGACTATTGTTGCTGAAATATCTAAGTCATGTAAGAGGCAATGTAGCAAAGTGGTCTGGGCAGCACAATGCCTCAGGTTCAAAACGTCAATCTCACCACTGGCCTACTAGTTTTGCAACACAGAAGTTGCAAGTTAGTTTCCAGAGTTTTTTGGTGCCAAAACCATCTGGTCAGCCTCCTGCCCAGATTGGTTAACACACAAGTCTGTTCTTTTACAATATTGTTGGATCACACTGCAGAGCTATATACATCAACTGACAGTCAAATAATATTTAGTGTCAAGCCCAGACTGACCAGCTGACGTGTGTGTCTTTTAACAGGTGAAGCAGCGAGATGATGCTCTTGCGGAATCTGGAGAACTACAACGCTTTGTCATTGATCTGGACAACTTCCAAATATGGTGAGCACTTCCAAAAATGGCAATTACATTTATTGAACACATTTACAGGCCCTCAAGAGTCTTGAAAGCACATGAACGGTTGAGCCTCTAGTTACAAAAACTTCCATAATACGAACAACTCTATACTACGGACAGTTAACTTGGAGAGTTCACTTGGTGCCCAAGAAACATTATCTGGAATTCACATAATTGCTATATCTATATTAGAGTCTTCTATATTACTGGTACTCAACTCTCCTTTTGAGTGTCTGCATCAAAGAGGTTCAACTATTTTTCACAATTAACGCAAAATTGCGCAGGCTCGAAAGACTTTAAAAATTGTCTTTCAAAGAAAAATTCCTCAGATTATTTTTTTGCCCGAAAACAAACAGCAAGAATTTTTTTCGTAATTCTGATTGTCGCATTCCAGGTTGAACAACACTCAGAATGAAGTTGCCTCCGAGGAGATGCCAGTGTCGCTCATTGACGCAGAGAAGATGTTGAAAGAACTTGAAGATCTCAAGGTATAGTACAAATGATGTATTAGCTGTGGAGAAAAATAATAAGATCTAAGTATTACAATTTTTTTCTTTGAAAATGCCGTCCAACTTGTCCGAAGTAAAGCAGTAAAGCAACCACATCTTAACGTGTTTGAAATATTTTTTTGCTTTGTATAAATCTGAGTTACAGTTCAAAGAAAACGTTGCGTCATTCATCATAAGCAGTTTTCGTTGGATTAAGTTACATCCGAAATATGTTTTGCGTGAACATTTGGTTTCCCACAACCTTATAAACCTTAATATGTTAGTTTACTGGGGCAGAAAAACAAGAAGTAATCGTAGTAAACCAGAGACTACAACATGAAAATTAACTGGCTAGAATAGGGCAAGATACAGATGAATCACTGTGGCTAAATTCGTGAATATAAACCTTCAATAATGTTGAAACAACGTTTTAAGTCGTAGCTAGTAGAATTGAATATGTTTCGTCTACTCCGAAGAATAAAACCTTTTTAAAGAAAAATCCCCCCTTAGAACAAGAAAAGCTAATTAAGCTTGCAGGATGAATTAACTTGAGTTTGTGTGTAACGTTGCATACCTCTTTTCAATCACAGGATGAGATTGACAGCCGCGAGCCAGACTTCAAGCAGCTGATGGAAAGCGGACCCAAGTGGATTCAAGACGAATCTGACCTCCAGCAACAATCACTCAAAGAACAGCTTGATAACCTGGAGACCGGCTGGAATGATGTGCACATCCTGTGGGCAAACAGAAAGAAAATGCTCATTCAGGCTTTGAACCATCAGGTAAAGAAAACAGCAAACAAGCAAACGTTGAAGACAAACGTAGAAGGATTTTTCTTGTTCGCAATATTCGCAGATGATACATGTAATTACAAACCCTCGGTTTCATTATTTAAGGGAGTTCAGTTACGGTATTTTGAGTTGTTTTGGCCACGTACAAAATTACCTTTAAATTGAAGGAAACCTGAAAATAATAATTTACTAAGATAGAAAAACACCAAAGACATAATAATAAATCATAAAGGAACAAGGATTGTGAAAGATGGAGAAGATTAACACGGATTACAAAATTAATGACGAAGTTTTAAAATTTTGGTTAAACCTTTGAAGATGCGCAGTGCAAACCGTGAGGTAACTCCTTTAAGTTCCTAAACAACATGATTTATATCTCTGTAACGTCGTATTGCCCACAGATTGGTTTAAATTCACGTACTTGTTTTCCAAAAAAAACGTGTCAAGAATTCTGCGTTATGCGAAGTCGTTTTTAAGTGACACAGCCAGGTGAAATGAGTTCATTGACTTACAGTAGTTGTATTCTTGTCTTTCTTGTAGCTGTTCATCCGAGACTCCAAACAATGTGAAGCCATTCTTGGCCAACAGGAATTGTTCCTGTCCAAGGAAGAAAGTGGAGTAAGTACAACCAAGTTCTGTTTATACGGATAAAACCAGAGAGATACGACACGAATTCATTCAAGGGAAAACATATTAGTCACAATTGTGAAAAAAAGTCCTTGGGACACTGATGTAATGCAGCCAACTGTGTTTTACAACTGAAGTTTGAAAAAGCACCGCTATCTTTTGAAAATGCGATGCTGTTTCCCCCTCTCCTTCCCCTCCCCCTCCCCCTCCCTCTTCCCCTCTCCCTACCCCTCCCCCAACCAATACAATGTTGAAACTCAGGAGAAACAACATTGCAGGCGGGGTGGGAAGAGGAGTTGGGCAAGTGAAGTTGTATTCGAGCGCGACTGTTTGTTTGACGTGTGTCCAAAAGCGCCAAATGTGCACATGTGTCCCAAGACATTTGTTCATGATTGTAGGCACCAGAACCACTATCCGTAGTCGAGGTGTCTGTAAAGTGTGGTGTAAACGTATGTTCCTTACTCTTGCTCCAAAGGCCACCGTAGAAGCCGTGAAGGAACTGATTAAGAAGCATGAAGAATTCGAGAAGCGCATGAACACCAATGATGACAAGATCAATCAAATGATGCAGTTTGCTGAACGCTTGAACGATGAAAATCACTACGCCTCAGACAAGATCACTGAGAAAGCTCGCAGCATTGATGAAAGGCAAGCAGCAAAGTCTTTCTTCTTTAGTTAGAGGAGCTACGTCACGGTTTACGCAACTTGAAAAGTTTAGCCTACATTTTCCAAGTTCGTCGTTGGTAATCCGTGTCAATCTTCTCCATCCTTAACCATCCTTGTTACTTTATGTTTTATTATTGTCTCTCTGTTGTTTTTCTATCTTAGTAAACTACTATTTTGAGGTTTTCTACAATTCAAAGGTTATTTCGTACGAGGCTGAAATACCGTGACTGAGTTCCTTTAAAGACTGTATAAACCTCACATTTGACAGTGATGGGGGGAAACCC